ATGACATGCTATACTATGACATTTTTTAAAAACCTTTTTATGACATGCTATACTATGGCATTTTTTAAAAACTTTTTATGACATGCTATACTATGACATTTTTTAAAAAACTTTTTATGACATGCTATACTATGACATTTTAAAAAAAAATTATGACCTGTTATACTATGGCATTTTTTAAAAACTTTTTATGACATGCTATACTATGGCATTTTAAAAAACAACTTCATGACATGTTACACTATGGCATTTTTTAAAAACTTTTTATGACATGCTATACTATGACATTTTTTGAAAATGTTTTATGACATGCTATACTATGGTATTTTTTTTAAAAACTTTGACTTGTTATACTATGACATTTTTTAAAAAACTTAATGACATACTATACTATGACAATTTTTGAAAACTTTTTATGACATGCTATACTATGACATTTAAAAAAAAAAAACTTCATGACATGTTATACTATGGCATTTTTTAAAAACTTTTTATGACATGCTATACTATGACATTTTTTAAAAAAAACCTTTATGACATGTCATACTATGGCATTTTTTTAAAAAAAAAAAACTTGACATGTTATACTATGACATTTTTAAAAAAAACTTTATGACATGCTATACTATGGCATTTTTTTAAAAACTTTTTATGACATGCTATACTATGGCACTTTTTAAAAACTTTTTATGACATGCTATACTAAGGCATTTTTAAAAAACTTTTTACGACATGCTATACTATGGCATTTTTAAAAAAAAAAAAAACCTCCATGACATGTTATACTATGGCATTTTTTAAAAACTTTTTATGACATGCTATACTATGACATTTTTTGAAAAGTTTTTATGACATGCTATACTATGACATTTTTAAAAACTTTTTATGACATGCTGTACAATGACATTTTTGAAATTTTCTTTATGACATGCTATACTACGACATTTTTAAAAACTTTTTTACATGCTATACTATGACACTTTTTATGACGTGCTATACTATGACATTTTTGAAAACTTTTTATGACATGTCATACAATGGCATTTAAAAAAAAAAACTTGACATGTTATACTAAGACATTATTTAAAAACTTTTTATGACATGCTATACTATGGCATTTTAAAAAAACTTTTCATGACATGCTATACTATGGCATTTTTGAAAAAACTTTATGACATGCTATACTATGGCATTTTTTAAAAACTTTATGACATGCTATACTATGGCATTTTTGAAAACTTTTTATAATGTGCTATACTATGACATTTTCAAATTTTTTTTTCTATGACTTGCTATACTATGGCATTTTTATCACTTTTTATGACATGCTATACTATGACACTTTTTGTGACATGCTATACTATGGCATTTTTATGACTTTATATGACATGCTATACTATGACATTTTTATGATTTTTCGTGCCATACTATACTATGACATTTTTAAAAACTTTTTATGACATACTATTCTATGACATTTTTCTGTTTTTTTATGACATACTATACTATGACATTTTTTAAAAACTTTTTATGACATACTATACTATGACATTTTTAAAAACTTTTTATGACATACTATTCTATGACATTTTTCTGTTTTTTATGACATATTATACTATGACATTTTTTAAAAACTTTTTATGACATACTATACTATGACATTTTTTAAAAACTTTTTATGACATACTATACTATGACATTTTTTAAAAACTTTTATGACACACTATACTATGACATTTATGTGTTTTTTATGACATACTATACTATGACATTTTTTAAAAACTTTTATGACATACAGTCTTTAATAACATTTTAATGAGACGTCATACTTTAACATTTTTATGGCCTTTTATGAGGTGCAAGACTGACTTTTTTTTAATGACATATCATACAATGACATTTTTCATTACATACTTTGACTTGTCAGAGTTTATGCACACTATTGATCTCCATCAGTAGCTAGTTTGCACAGTGTCACCTGTTTCCCATTTCTTTCTTCATGCTTAACTCTGTCTTTATATTACAGATACATTTGCGAGTAAAGTGGCTGCCATCCAGGACCAATATGCTGATGCCTCCATCGGCAACGTGACGGGCAGCAACGCAGTCAATGTGTTCCTGGGCATCGGGGTGGCGTGGACCATCGCCTCCGTTTACTGGCATACCAAAGGCAAGGTGTTCAAGGTGAACCCAGGCTCCCTGGCCTTTTCCGTCACCATCTTCACTGTCATGGCGCTGGTGTGTGTGTTGGTGCTGCTCTACCGCCGGCGTCCCAGCGTGTCAGGCGGAGAGCTCGGGGGCCCACGGACACCCAAGCTCCTCACGTTCTTCATGTTCCTCTCCCTCTGGTTCGTCTACATCCTGTTGTCCTCCTTAGAGGCTTACTGCCATGTGCCTGGTTTCTGAGACAGAGGGAAACACACAGACACGGCTCTTCTCCTTGTTTTTACAGTCTAAAATGTGTTTTCTCTGTTTTTGTCTATTTTCACAAAGGTTTATAACTATTTGTATCATTAGTTATTATTGATATCGCACAATATTTGATTGACTTTGAATCTTTGGACTTTGGAACTTTGCTACCACCCACTATGCTGTGAAGTATAGCTTAAGCCACTGAAATTTAACCTCTCCTCAACTTTTCTTCCTTTTTTTTTTTTTTTTTTTTTTTAAATACTATGTTCCACTGGACATTTATCTTATCATTAATATCAGCATAAATCGCATCAAACGTTCTGTCACTTGAAATGTGAAGCTTCTGGCAACATATCTTCTCTCTGTGTGGATAATTATTTGAGTTTTTAAGTGTTAAGAAAGCACAAGATCAAAGCAGTGTTTTGGAGGGTGATATAAAATGGAAAAATTAAACATTGTGCATGGGACGACATTATACTTGACATTTACATGAAAGGAAAGACATTACTGAGGCTGAGGTGACATATTTGTGTGTTGATATTTATTACTCAATCTATACATTAATTATTCATTGTATATCATGTAAAAGATGAACATTGTGTGTGGGAGTTTTGTGAAAGAGTAGGTGTGTTTATTTTTATGCACGTTATCAGAATAAGAGTTTCTTGGTAATCTATTTTAAAGTACTGTATGTAATATTTTGACATGGCTGTTGACGTGTTGACGTGTTCTGTACATGTGAATCACAGCTGTAACATAATATTTTCACTGCCTGATCCCCCTTTCCCACAACGCTTCCTCAGTCAGTATCATGTTTGACTTAGCCAGGGTTGAAATGCCTTTTTTTTTTGTTTTGATAACATAAGCCAATCTTGGAGCACATTTAGGATTTTTGCGTGTGTGGTGTATGTGTGTGTGTGCGTACTTCTCCTTTCCAGCACAATTTGGTGAAAGGTGTGGCACTACTTCGTTACTGACTCCACAAAGAGTAGGTGACAAAGAACAAACAAAAAATGTGGTCCGACTACGGACACAAGACGGACACCAGTTTTCTTATATGTCACACTGACACTGTGAGCATTTTTCAACATCACTTTTAGAAAAAAAGCACAGCAAAGAGAGCAAAGGGTCACTTTCCACATGAGTGTACAAAGAGTTATTAGGTCCTAAGCATAGCACAATCACTGAACAGGTCACCTGTGATGAAAAATGTGCTAAAAGAGAAGACATGTACAGTACTTCCTGAGAGTGTCTCCTTGTGTCACACAGCAGTTGATATTGAAGTTTGTTTTTTTATTTAACCTAGAATCTGTAGAGCCATATTTATTGTAACAGTATTACAGTAGAGGTATTTATATGATCAATTTTAGTTTTATTGATATGCACGTTTAATGTACAAAAAGTGGAAATAAATGTTGCTCATTTATGATGCTGTAAGATGCCTTGTCTTAATTGCACATTTCACTGAACACTCTCACAGCTTTTCAACATTATGTCCAAAGCACATGGTTAGAATATTTCACAGATGTAACCTTATTTAGATATAGAATTTATCAGTATGAACTATTTTATTAAAGTGAGGTATCACAAAGTGAGCTGGATGGCTGTCTGGGGAAGTGAACAAACACCTTAACATTCATAACAGACAAAACAGGATTTTCGGATAATATAATGCCACCCAGTGCAACAACTATACAAACCACAGTCTTAAAAATGAACATGTTCACTGTTGACATTGGTGGAAGAAATACTCAGATGCTTTTTTAAATAAAATGTCAAAATACATTGTGAAGATTCTGCATCCATAGTCATGCATTAGTTAAAGTTCTAATTCAGGTGTTGGGTGGCATTCATTCATTTTTCTGTCACCGCTTATGCTGTTGGGGGTGGCGGGGGCGCTGGAGCCTATCCCAGCTGACAATGAGCGAGAGGCAGTGTACACCCTGGACAGGTCGCCAGGCTAACATGTAGAGATGGACAACCGTTCATGCTCACATTCACACCTAGGGACAATTTGGAGTCACCAGTTTACCTGCATTTCTTTGGGCTGTGGGAGGAAGCTGGAGTACCCGCAGAAAACCCACGCTGACACAAGGAGAACATGCACAGAGGGGCTCCCCCACCCTGGGTTTGAACCTGGAACCCTCTTGCTGTGAAGCAACAATGCTAACCACTGCACCACCATGCATTGTTTTTAATATGCTTATTATATGACAAGTAACTAGTAACTGTGAGGTAAGTATGGTGCAGTAAATGTACAGTATTTTCCTGTGTAGCAGAATTTAAGTATGAAGTAGAATATAAATATGAATACTGAATGAGCTCTGTGAGGTGATTTTAGGATTAGGTTTCATCATGCTGTTGGTTGTTTGGTTGGATCCTCAACAGTAGCAACAATGTATAGAAAATAATGTGAAAGAGAGAAAACTATGAAATATGGAAATTATTTCATCACCTTCTCCACTGTAGCGTACACGGTGTCTTGATAATTGTGCCTTTTTTATTGCAAACATTAAGATGTACTAATTGCAAACACATTAACATGGAAATTAACCCCCACTGCGGCAGAAGATTATCATTATTACTCCAGAGCACACTGTCACTTGGACTGTGAGATTACCTTGTGCTTTGCTCACTAACTCAAAAAATGTGATTTTTCATTTTGTGGATTCTTTGACAGCTGAAAACAGAGTTCCACATGCTGTCACCTCTGTTGCAGGGTTGGTATTAAAGGCCACTCCTGCTGCACACGATGAAGGTCTGAGGACTGAACACTGTTTTGGATAAAAATGCTGGGAGCAGATGAAGCTACCCAATGTCACGTTCTGTGATTTTCATCAAACAAAAAAAGAACACAAACTTCATAACAGTACATTGCTATAATGCTGACATTTAGCCAGAACCAGATTATTTCTAATATAAATCTTCATAATAATTTCATTACAAAATTACGTTTTACCCCATATTAAATAATTCTCCAGTGAAAGACGTGTTTGTACCAGTCTGTCCAAATCTAATATCATTTAATAAATGCTGGCTGGACTAAGTTATTGTTCTGTTTACAAAAAGCTCTATATTTCATCAAGGCTTACAAATATTGGATTATTATTTGTCATCCACATTTCCCAGCTCTACCATTTTGCTGTATTGAGCGGGAAATGAGCCATGGACTTAATATGCATTCGCATGCTGAGGCTGGATGGGTTTGCTCTTGCTGCCAAGGGCATGCTGGGATATGCTCCAGTCCCCTGAGAAGGATTAAGCGGGTAAAGACAGTGACTGATAAACAACTGGGAAAAAGTTATGTGATACTCTATTGATCATAAATTCTCTGTTTTAAGGTCCTAATGACGTTTTTAACACGGAATATGCCCTCTGTGACCTGACAACCCACCAGAGAAGTCTTGGGGAAATTTCTCCAAGGAGACATTTTGAGAAACTAAGCAGATAAACTAAAACTGTGGGGAAAAAACATAGATCAGGGTTCTCCAATCATTGATGACTTAATTGCATTTCAGGAAGCAAACATGACTGATGGCTGCAGAAAAAAGGTACAATTTTTTTTTTTATATAGTATACTATACTATAGTATATAGTAATATAACTGTTAATAGTGACATTTTGTCAATATACTATACTATGACAAGTTTTATGACCTTTTTTCATATCATTATAAACTAGAACAGATTTTGTGAGTGATTTCATGAAATACTATACAATTACTTATAATGACATTTTTATGACTTCTTTAGTAACATACTATGCTCTGCCATTTTTTCATGATTTTGATCAACATACTATACTATAGGCCTGTTTCCACCGAAGAAGTTCATGGTACCATTTGGGGGGCAGGAACTACTACAGGAACGTCCTCTCGCTTGGCACTCTCAACCGCCGTGTCTCCACTGAGAGAGCGGAGTACGAGGAGGGTTCCTGTAAAGTTACGGGCTCTGGATGTGATGTAATCATTGCGCGACCATTTTGACCGGGGCGACGTAGGGACGCCGTTAGCTGTTAGCCGATAGCAGTGTCTGTAATAACTCACTAAATGGCCCGTGAAAAAAATATTTTTTCCAGCTGATGTCTTAGTTACAACATGATTAAGCTATCTGGAGTAGTTTCATGTCGTATCCAACAACAGGAGGCTTTTAACAGATGACGTCCTGATGTTAGCTTTGCTGCTGCTGTTAGCTGTCCCTGTCAGCTGCAGCCACTGATGCTTTCTAGACATCGTGATTTCCCAAAACTGAATAAATACCACACATATCAACACAAAACTGCTTTGCTAGCTCAATCATGTTGTAACTAAGATATCCGCTGGAACAAATATTTTTTTCAAGGGCCATTTAGTGAGTTTTTTTACATGGCAGCGGAAGCTATATGAACGAGCTAACACTCGTCTGCTGAGATTTAAAAATGCCCGCTATTTTGTTGCTTTCTGTTGACGTCACATCCCTCCTTGAGTATATCCAATCAGCACCCAGTAAACCCCAAGCCCCAGCCAGGAGTCTTTTGGGGCCGTTCTGAGTACCTACCCCGAGGTAGGGACTTGTTTAGCCCCCGTAAAAGTTCCGTAACTCTGTCCTTCGGGGGTGGTTCCTGCGGTGGAGACACGCACCAACGGCCCCGGTCCCGTAAAATTACCCTGAAGTTCCTGCGGTGGAAACGGGCCTTATGACTTTTTTTCATGATTTTGGACGGCATACTATACTATGACTTTTTTCATGGTTTTGGACGACATACTATACTATGACTTATTTTTCATGGTTTTGGACAACATACTATACTGTGACTTTTTTTTCATGATTTTGGACAACATACTATACTATGACTTTTTTGTCATGGTTTTGGGCGACATACTGTACTATGACTTTTTTTCATGATTTTGGATGACATGCTATACCATGACTTTTTTTGATGATTTGGGGTGACATACAACACTATGACTTTTTTTCATGATTTTGGGCGACATACTATACTATGACTTTTTTTCATGCTTTTGGGACGACATCCTATATTATGACTTTTTTTCATGGTTTTCGGCGACATCCTATACTATGACTTTATGTCATGATTTTGGACAACATAAATATACTAGGACTTTTTTTTATGATTTTGGGTGACATACTATACTATGACTTGTTTTTCATGGTTTTGGGCGACATACTATACTATGACTTTTTTTCTTGATTGTGGATGACATACTATACTATGCTGTTTTTTCATGAATTTGGACAACATACTATACTATGAGTTTTTTGACATAATTTTGGACGACATACTATACTATGACTTTTTTTCATGATTTTGGACGACATACTATACTATGACTTTTTTTCATGATTTTGGATAACATACTATACTGTGACTTTTTTTCATGAGTTTGGACGACATACTATACTATGACTTTTTTTCATGGTTTTGGGCGACATACTATACTATGACTTTTTTTCATGCTTTTGGACGACATACTATACTATGACTTTTTTCATTATTTTGGACGACATACTATACTATGCCTTTTTTTCATGATTTTGGATAACATACTATACTGTGACTTTTTTTCATGAGTTTGGACGACATACTATACTATGACTTTTTTTCATGGTTTTGGGCGACATACTATACTATGACTTTTTTTCATGCTTTTGGACGACATACTATACTATGACTTTTTTCATTATTTTGGACGACATACTATACTATGCTGTTTTTTCATGGTTTTGGGCGACATACTATACTATGACTTTTTTGTCATAATTTTGGACGAGAAACTACACTATGACTTTTTTTCATGATTTTGGACGACATACTATACTATGACTTTTTTTCATGGTTTTGGACGACAGACTATACTATTACTTATTTTTATGGTTTTTGATGACATACTGTACTATGACTTTTTTTCATGATTTTGGACGACATACTATACTATGACTTTTTTCATGGTATTGGATGACATACTATACTATGCTGTTTTTTCATGCTTTTGGGACAACATACTATACTATGACTTTTTTTCATGGTTTTGGAAAACATATTATACCATGACTTTTTTCATGATTTCAGGTGACATACAATACTATGACTTTTTTTTCATGATTTTGGACAACTTACTATACTATGACTTTTTTTTTCATGATCCTGGACAACATACTATACTATGACTTTTTTTCATGGTTTTGGACAACATACGATATTATGACAATTTTTTTTTATAACATACTGTACTGTGACATCTTTTGTAACATTTTTATAATGACATATGGTTTGAGTTTTTTAATGACATACTTTATTATAACTTTTTTTATGACTTGTTTTTATGACATACTTTACTTTTTTTACTCTTTACTCTTTATTTTTTTATGTATTTGTTTTTACGTAGTATACGATAAATATTTGTGACATAGTA